TAAAATCCATACCTACTTTCAAGACAGTTCTTTGTGGATTGCCCAAATAGGAGGTAGGTGATAGAGAGAAAAGCGCACAGATTGCCACTGATACCTGCATTTGAATCCTACCTTCATTACTTATTTTGAGCTGTGTGCTTGTGGGAAAAATCACTTAGTTATCTTGAGCCTTGATTTTTTTTAATCAATAAAGTCTAAAAAATAATCGTTACCTTAGAGAGAAAGCTAAGAGGAAGGAGCTCTACTTAGAAAAGATCACAGAAAATAAATATTTTAAGCTATTAATCAAAGACTGTTTGAGGCATTGGGAAAGGAGGCAGTAGAAAATGGACATTTTAGGAAAAGAGAAATTCGGAAGCAAAGTCCTGACAGACAGGAAATACAAGGCTTAGGGAGGCAGTAGTCTCTGTGGTTGAAATTTTGGTGTCATAATAAGAAATTTAGACTGGCCGGGCACGGTGGCTCATGCCTGTAATCCCAGCACTTTGGGAGGCCGAGGCGGGTGGATCACGAGGTTAAGAGATCAAGACCATCCTAGCTAACACGGTGAAACCCCGTCTCTGCTAAAAATACAAAAAATTAGCCAGGCATGGTGGCGGGCACCTGTAGTCCCAGCTACTCGGGAGGCTGAGGCAGGAGAATGGCGTGAACCCGGAAGGCAGAGCTTGCAGTGAGCCGAGATCGTGCCACTGCATTCCAAGCTGGGAGACAGAGAGAGACTCCACCTCAAACAAAACAAAACAAAACAAAAACAAAAACAAAGAAGTTTAGACTTTGGTGGTTGTAGTAGTTGTAGTAATAGGTAGTATTCATTGAGTGTATTCCACAGACAAGGTGATATTCTAAGATTTGACATTTATTGTCACATTTAACTCTTACACTAACACCATCAGGCAGGTACTATGGTTCTAATTTTACAGATGAGAAAACTGAGACACAGAAAAGTTACATTGCTTACCCAAAGTCACATGGATAGCAGATTTAGCAGCTGAGCTGTGACAGGCAATGGGAAGCAAACAAGACATTCTTAAATAGGGTAGCAGAAGAGCCACGTGTGTATGTGTGTGTGTGTTCATGATATAGATAGAGTGATGGAAACATACATGCATATGCAAGAAGAAGGTATACACTTGAGAAAATAAATCCTGGACCAAGGTAAAGGAGGAAGACCAGTTAGAAGTCTACTATAATATTTCAGTTGAGAGATGACAGTAGTTAGAATGAATTCAGCCAAGGAGAAAACGATGAGGTGAATGACAGAAGATATAGTTAGGAGATAAATTGGACAGACTTAGTAATGCAAAGTGAGAAGAAGCAAACCATTGAGGATCATTGCGAGATGAGGAAATTAGTTGGATGATGATGTAAACCTTATAGGTTGGGGTTCTTTTAAAGTAGTTGTTCCCAAACCTTTAATATGAAAGTGAACCAGCCTTTCTATGACTGAATGACCTCAAGTCCCAGGGGTAAACAATTCTACAAAAACAAACGAGTGACTTTTTTCTACAGAATTAGGACAATGCAAATCTTACAGGTAAGAATCTATGAGGTATCTTCCACTTAAACTCTAATAATCTACCTTTGCAACTCTGGCCCTCTATAACCGTGGTCTCAGGAAGGAATGGCATGCAGTAGTGACAGACAGGCATTAAGTTCTGGGTTAAAGATAATATATCTCAAGATTATTTCTTTTTGGGAGTATATGTATGCCCAGATTTACATACTGCACTGAGACAGAAGTCAAACAAGAATGTAAAAATTATCACCTCCAGGATATATTTATTATATATGTATATTTTCCCCAGTGAATGCTATCCCTTACACATTAATCTGCACACAATGTTAAAAAACATGCAGTTAAAAAGTCATTTTGTTTTCTTTATAAAAACATCTAAATTTCAGTTATCAGTGGAATATTGTGCAGTCATTAAAATAATGCTTCTGAAAAAGTAGGTGATGACTTAAAGAAATATTTATTACATTAAATGAAGTTAACATAGATCAAATGCTATATAGATTCTACAAAATACCTAACCAATACTCCTCAAAACTCTCAAGGTCATCGAAACAAGGAAAGCCTGAGAAAATGTCAGAGTCAAGAGGAGCTTAAAGAAACATGATGACAAAATGTAAAATGGAATCCTAGATAAAATCCTGAACAGAAAAAGGTACCAAGTAAAAGAGCACACTAATATTTAGGTTTATGCAAACTCCTAAATATCAAAAAGTTCAACAAAGGCCTTAATACATACAATGACTACTTAAAATGATATATTTTTACTGTATTACTTGTCAAAGTCTTTTAAAAAATTGGAGGTCTGTTAAAAAACTGTGCTAAGTGGCTTCTATTTTATCTTTTATTTTAATGCAGAAGTGGACCCAGCAGTGCCGAGTTACCCCATAGGCAGACAAAGCACAGCCTTGAGATACGAACAGAGCAGAACAGAGCAGGGCATCGAAACCACTTATTTGAAAGAAGAAGATATTTGATATTTCTCTAACTTATGGTTTTGTACTATTTTTTATTTTGAATTAGTTTGAACCATAAGAAATTACTAAAACTTGACTATTTTTACTTGCAGAAGGTAGCTTCATATAGTTCAATGTAGGACTCAGAGGAATGAGTAGTCTGATTGTGTTGTTTGGGGCATATGAAGTCTCCATCTGGCTCTGCTGCCAACCCAGTTTTATTGCAAGCTCTTAAGAAGCAGACTCTTAATCTGAGTGGTCAGCTTTGTAAAAAATATCTGCACAGTGTATGTTTTGACCTCCTTCTCTCATCTCACCTAATCTCACCTCTCCTACCCCAGAAAAAGCAACCTAGTCTGGCAAGGCCTGGGAGGCAGATGAAGCTTGGTTGCCTCTCCAACTCATTAAGCACCTGAGCAAAAACAAAGCGGATGTTGTGGGAAGTTTTTTGAAACTCAGGAAAATCTCCATCCTCAGTGGTCCTGCTAGGAATTAGTTTTTGTTTGGGGGAACCAGAGTCTACGATTTTGTGAGATATTTCCTGAAGGAGCTAAGAGTTTCAGTAGAGAGTGAGGAAACATTCTGGAATGAAGATCTGGAAAAAGTATTTGGTTTGTTAAAAGGCTCCCGTGCCCCGTGTTTGACCTGCATTGCAGAATCTTCAGTAATAAGGCAGTATTTTATCCTAGCTTCCTCCATCCCTCCCTCCTCCTTCTAAGTCCTGATTTTTTTTTTTTTTTTTTTTTTTTTTTTTTTTTTCTGGAGTAGCAGCCACAGAGCACGGGGTGAAAAGTCGCTGGAAGGACAAGTTGACAGATAGCATTTGGGTCGCTGGGTCACTGAAAGGCGTCGTGATCTGGGCTCAGACAGAGCGATTTCCTCGGTGATTTTAATCTTTCGTCTGTTCACACGTCACGCCACCTGGACATAATGCAGAGAAATCTGGAGGCTTAACAAACCCTTCCTCTATCCCCTAAAGCTTACTTGGACAAAAAGAGAGAGAGAGAGAAAAAGAGAGAAAGACAGGAAAAGAGAGTTAACCCTCTCCCTGCCACCCGCATCAACAGCAGAAAAACCTAGGAGTGGAAAGACCTTGCTGGCAATTAATAAGCTCAGGGCTTTGAGCAACAAGGGCCCTGTCTTTATGGAGCCTGTAAATAATATAACAAGTTGCCCCATTTACTGCCTTAGACACATATACATGGCAGCTTTATCCTTTTTCGTTGACCCTCTGTCTACGTTTTGATTTACTTTCAAATATCATCTCATAGATTCTTGGAAAACATTTATTTTGATGGTGGGGGTTGGGGTACAGGCAGATGGAGAAAGGATGTAGAGAAAGAGCTACCCACGAAAGGAAATATTAATATCTTCCCCGTGACTGTGACCAGGCAGTCTGTTTTTCTTATTTCCCCATAAGTTTCTGAGCTATTTCCGGCCAAGGGTGTTAAAGCTTAGAATTAATGGATTTCAACAAAGTGGATGCCGATGTTCCAGAGAAATGCTTCTACTTAACTTGTTGGCAATATGCGTCAGGTCATGCTTGATAGTGCTGGAGAGTGGGGAGGAAAAGGCAGCCAAGGCACTGCCAGGAAGATGCTCCTTCAGGTTTCTTCCCTCTGGACAAATGGTAGAAAGAGAGAGTGACTCTGGTGCTCACCCCTTGCTCCCACAGAACGCTCATCATCTTCTGTTAAAGCACTTATCAAACTTTATCATGGTTATTTGCTTAGATGTCAGCACTAGACTATGAACTCCACAGGGGGACTTTATCCTTCACATCTCTCAAAGTGCCTGGAATATAATGGGACATTTTAAATATTTGCTTGTTCATTTTATCAAACAGGGCTTAAACACCTACTATTGCCAGATAGAGAGTTAGTCAATGGGGATACAATGAGGGATACGTTAGGGTCCCTTTTCTTAAGTTGCTCATAGTCTGGCCAGGGAGACAGACATACAAAGATAACATTGATAATAACATGCTACAGATGCTTCCCTGGATGTACAGGGCTCCATGGAGGGAATCATTAAAGAGGGGGCCATTCTACTGGGGAGGGGAAAGGTGGATTAGGAAAGACACAAAGTGATTGTAGAGGTACAAGCAAGAAGCTACACAGACCAGTGGAAATGCTACCTCAACAGCCTTTGAGAGAAGTAGCAGGGTCTGATATACTAGCACTATCAGTGGGGATAAGAGAAGATGCATTAAGAGGTAAAAGGAAGGTGGTTCTACAGAACTCAGTGGCCACCAGTGATATACGAGTTAAGAAATTGCTTACGCAGATAGCAAGAGTATGGGAGTCCTCAGTAAGGCTTTTCTTTTTAATGAAAAGCAGCCCAAATTATTTTCCTTACTAACAAAGAGCAGCCTGTAAAATCCAGCTGCAGACCTAGATACTGGCAGTTGTGGCAATCATGTTCAAGATGGCGACTCCATCTTGTCTTCTCTTTGCCAGCCATGTGTACAGGAAGAAGCAGACAAGATGGCGCTGATCAACTGGAATGCCTATTTGCATAATAAGATTAGCATGGGGGAAAAGCCTTCCCCACACACTATGTAGATGTCACAACTGATCAAACCAATCTATGAGCCCTATGTAAATCAGACACCGCCTCCCCAAACTGTATTATAAAATGGCGCATTAGCACCAACCGTTACTTTTTTCTGCTAGGAGACCCTCTTTGGAGTTTTCTCAACATGAGGAAGCTTTTTCTCTCTCTTTTCTTCTTTTTCTCTCTCTTTTCTTCTTTTTCTCTCTCTTTTCTTCTTTTTCTGTTAAACGTTCTCCTCCAAAACCCACTCCTCATGTGTGTCCGTGTCCTGAATTCCTTCCGCACTGAGACCAAGAGCCAGGGTATGTACCCTAGTCAAGGGAGCCCTTTCACCGGAATATAGAGCCAGAAGGAAAAGGAGAAGTTGGAGTTAACCTCCTTCTGGCATTGGTGACTGAGTCACCGAAACAGGGAAAAGGAAAGAAAGAAAGGAGGTCACGATAAAGGCTCTAATGTCATGGCTGTGTTTGTTAATCTCAATAATCAATTTAACTGTGTTTGCTCAGGTTATTACAATTGCCTTGGCTTTGAATAGGTACAACTTACCTTGTTGCAATTAACCCTAGAAGAACTCCATTTACCTGTGCCACAGTACAAAGGAAATATCACAGGCAGCAAATGCGTGAACTTAGATTGAGGTCTGGCTCGGAAACCCTGAGTCCCAGTTTACTCACCTCTATGCCAGAGATAAGCATTCCTTCCCTGCCTGCCTACATTATTAGTGTGTGGTGAGGGCGGAATAAGATTATGTACCTAAAAGCTACACAATACAAGAAGTGAGATATGCAAGCCCTTGTGTCCCAAGAATTTGGAGGGACACTGGCCTTTCCAGCAGAATTGGGGTCACTGACAGAAGGCTAATGAAAATTAAAATCACCAACTGCCTTGAAGTAAACAGATCTGACTCTTGAAGCTAAAACTCTGAAGACGATATTTGCCAAGTGGCACTGCTCAAAGGAAAGTATCCTGTCAAATCCACCCAGCCTGAGCTCCAGATTGCTGAAATTTCGGGAGGCCCATTTATCAGAGGAAAATTACAACTTCCTTGATCAGGTCACCCCGATTTGCACAGGTGGTAACCCTAAATCTTGGCCAATTTCCAGTTTGGGTAATTCTATTTAGCTTTTCATGATTCCAGCTTCGGCTTCACTGGGGACATTGTCCTTCCCTCCTGTCATCCTCCTGGAAATTGCCATGGCTAGGAGAGATCTCACTACATTTTTGTGTGCTGAGTAGATTTTCCTCTGCTTTGAAATGAAGATATTTTTCTTGTTAAACCGATTTCCAGGTAACTTATTTTTAGAAACGTAGCCCCAGACCTTTTCTCACTAACCAGGTAAATTAGAGAATGAGAGACTATAATAGCTCTTCCGGAACTTGATTGTTTGTTTGCAGGGTCTGCAAAGGCAAAGAATTGCTAGTGGCCAGGCAGATCACATAAAGTGTGAAAAGGCCAGTGGGGTGCAAGACAAATGGGAGTGATAAGGACTGGGGAGTTCATTTCACATCTACACTCATTTTTTAAGAGTAAAACATTGTAGAGTATAAACAAAACTCATTCCTGAGATTAATTTGGTTTCCAGGTCACCATTTGTTAAACTCTAATAATCTAACCTGTGAATCTTACAGATTAAAAACAAATAACAGAGGCACTGAGAGAGACAATTTACAGAGCCAGTTGAAGGTAAGTCTGTGTTATTGTCACACTTCCTGTCACACAATCCACACAGCTGGGCTTCCATTCCAGGTTGCTTTCTCTTCCAACCTTTAGAAAGTTGCATTATCCTATCACAGTTTCCCTGCTTTCCTAACATTCTTTCTTACTATATCTCTTATGCTAATAGTATGCATTTTTTTTTTTATTATTTTTGGTAGAAAGAATGCTGGGACTTTGAACGATATGGGTCCAGTCCTGGTTCTATCCCATATTGGCAGATTAACCTGGGCTGGTTTCTTAAGTAATTTTAAGTTTACTCATTAGTGGGCACTATTACAAACTAAAGATTGCTCATCTAATTCAATTTAAAATTTTAATGCCATTCAAATTTTTAAAATTATCTCCAAATAGTGCAGTAGGCCCACACTAGGATACTATTCATTTGAAGATTGAAGTCACCACCTATACTTAGTAAATTGATATTTTCTGTAATTGAGACCCTTCCCACCAAAAATGCTGTCCATTATGCAGTAAGTATCCATTGGGAAATCAGATTCTTATTAACTGGATTAGTTCCCATTAGAATTATTTTAGAAATTGTTTTGGAACATTGTTTTTAGAGAGATGTGGGATTAAAAACTTGTTCTGTCATTTAAAATTTTTGTGACCTTGGATAATTATTAAAGCTTAGTTTCCCAATCTGTAAAATGAGAAAACAATAGCTACTTCATTAGCACAAGATTAAATGAGACTGTGTGCAATGCCCCTGGCACATATGCTAAAGTAATAGTTACATTACATAGTCAGGTATCTTCGCTAACTCTTTCCTTCCTTTCCTACCTAACTTTTATGTGACCAAAACACAGGTTTACTCTAGAGGATCTAACTGCTTTATTTTTAAAAAGGTTTTTTAGAAACACATATTTTTTCTAGTTGAAAGAGTCTGGAAAACTAAAAAATATGACATAATTTGAATGGAAGTAGCATTTGGTTGCTTAACATGAACCTGACAAATAAATAGATTTCCTTAAAGTTTCCCAGTAGGACTGTTATCCCTGTCGGTCTCCTAACTCAAACAACATATTAAAGAAGAATAAAGGATGCATAATTTTTTGAGGTCTGAACTCATTATGTGCTTTTGATTTTCAAAGATATTTGTGTTCCAAGTGAATGACAGGTGAGAAAACCTCCTGCCATAATCTCCCACATTCTCCACAAAGGGAAAATTTTGAGTGACAGTTTTGTACTCATAAGCCAACCTTTAGAGAAGTCTCCAAAGGATTTCTCTGAGCATGTGGAGACTTGGTTTAAGTATAATGGCTTGACTGGAGAATGATGAGGCTTGGACAAGTAAGTGATGGTGTGGGGATTGGGACACGATCAAGTAAGGATGAGATGTAGGGTAGGAAAAATAATCCTGGGGCTCTTCTTGCATTATCCCTTTGCCCCAATCCCTGAGGAATCCTGAAATGCTTCATCTTATGGTGGAAGTGGTATGTTTCGTTTAAAATCTTTCGGCACTCATCTAGGGACTGAGTCTACTACATCTTTGAATTTTAAAGGAAGCTCCCTCCTCAGAGTTTGCTTCCTAGTTGGTGTTTGAACCAAAATGAGACATACCAGTCCTAGTGATGACCTTTGAATGTACAGCATACCATAATTTCAAGCACTAGAAAAACTCCTGGTAGATGAGTCCTGAATGTAGGAGCAAATAACTCTATAACTTGAACGCTTTCCAGCTCAGCCACCATATTTGATAAATAGAGAAAAGAAGGCCCAGAGAAACTAAATCGATCACCTAAACTAGGAGTTGGAGAATTATGGCTCACAAACCAAATCTGGCTCATGGCCTCTTTTTGTAAACAAGGTTTTATTGAAAAACAGCCATACTCATTCATTTACATATTATATCTGGCTGCTTTCATTTTGCAAGAGCAGAGTGTAGTAGTTGCAACAGGGACCATATGACCCTGAAAGCCTAAAATATTTGCGATCTGATCCTTTACAGAAAGTTTGCTGACCTCTGGTCTAAAATCACATAGTCAACTGGTAACAAAGCCAGGACTACAATTATGGTCTTGAACCACACCAGAAGAGACAGAAATAATATGAAAATTTTTAAAAAATGTATATAAATACTTGGGGCCCTGGAAACAAAAGACATTACTGAACTTGATATATTTCTATTATTTGTATTACTGCTATAATAAATATCAGGATACTCTTCTAAATCTATTAGTCTTAAACTAAACTTTAACCAAGGTCAAAAATTAGAGATGAACTACATTAGTTCACTAGAGTCCTCCATGACCCATGCATCCATTTATCCCAGATAACTGTCAATCTGCTCATCAGACATGCTGTTGTTATACAATCTCTTTTTGTGCCTTTTAAAAAAAAAAAGTCCTGTTTAAGGATCATTCAACATCCTAATAAGGATTTCATGAAGATTAAGCAGCAAGGGCATTTAAAGAACAAATCACACCTGACAAACTTCGTAGTCTTTTACAACGTAATTTCAAATTAGCAGATGAAAGGAAGGCAAGGGATCGTATGTCTCTGCCTTTTTGTAAAACACTTGAGACAGGATCTCTCACAAAATGTTAGTGGCAAAGCTATTTTATATCAGCCTTTGCCAATTCAAATGGTCTTCAATGCTTCCACCTAGACTGAAGAGAGAGTGATGATAAATGGCAACCCAAGGAGTTTGGGCATGGATGCAACACCTCTGAGGTTACTAAGCAATATCACCATTAACCTTGAATAGGGCACACTAAAGTCATGATCATCAAATTTGTGGGTGATATTCAGATATAACATCTCAAGGAAGGTAAAAGAAGAAAAAGAATTAAATAAAAGTAAATATATGGACATGGACCCAGCCAAAAAAATCTGTGCAGATAAATAATAAGCCAATGTCTTATCCTTGAAGTAGCTCTTCCAAATTTGAGACCCAGAAGTGACTGAACACCCAAAATATTGAATTGGAAGTTAGGGTTACTACTACTAGATGTGAAATGTTCTGGTACAGCCTATCCCTATTCAAATTATGAAGATAAAGATTTCTAAGCAGCAAGGCATATTGGTTGTTAAATAATAAAGGAAAAATAACCAATTCATTCATTTGTGTACTCAGTCATTCACTCACTCACTCTAAACTGGGTGCCAGTCATGTGCTTGTCACTGCTTTAAGTACAAAACAAGCATAGATACTGCCCTTATGGAGTGCTTTCCTCTCTCTCTCTCTCTCTCTCTCTCTCACACACACACACACACACACACACGGGTTTTCTTGGGAGCTGCTAAGTACTAGGAAGTAAAATAAAGCAGGATGATATACAATAGCAGAGGAGTGGGGGACAGGCTGTATTGCATTTGATGGTAGGATGAGGGAAGCCCTCTCGATGAAATGGAATTTGAGTAGAGAAAGGATGATCGAGACAAAGGAAACAGAAAGTGCAAAGGTCCCAAAATGAGAGCACATTTGATACTTGGAGAACACACAACAGGAGTATGGAGAATAAAAGGAAAGGTCCTGGGAGCTGAGATCAGAGAGGCAGACAGGTGCAAAGGTAAATATTATCTTGTAGGTTTTGGTAAGATAAAATTTGGTAAGGTAAAATCACTTCATATTTTATGTTCATTGAGATGAAGAGCCACTTTGAGACAGAAACTAACACCTTAAAATGATCACTCGGGTTGCTGTATGGAGAAGAGACAAGGGAGCCAGGTAGGAGGAGGAAGGCAGGTTGAGAGGATAGTACAGTATTTGAAGTGAAAGCTGATAGCAGCTTAGACTTCAGTGGAGGCAAGCAGTGAAGGTGACCAAAAGTGGTTGGATTATGGCTATGTTTTGAAGTTATATTCAATAGGATTTATCACTTGTTTGGATGTGGAAAGAAATAGAATGAAATGAATCACAGATGCCTTTAAGGTTTTTTGGCTTGAACACCAAGATAATGCAAGTTGCCATTTTACTCAAATGGAGACAACTGGGAGAAGAGACAGCTGAGGGGGTAGGAATCAAGATTTCAGTTTATACCAATTCAGTGAGTCAGAGCATTGCACACATCACTCTTCCTTATACCTGATCTTTCTGAGAACCTTCTGGAGTTCTCCATCCTAGGACCCTAAGTGGTCATCATAACTTGAAGTTTATGTCATGGTAACCAACATTAGGGAGCAAGTATTATGCCCAAGATAAAAAAGCAAACAAACAAACAACAACAACAACAACAAAATTAAGAACACACAGAAAAAGCCACAAATCAGAAATACCACTGCCTCTACCAATGAAAAGCCAAAAGTTAAATCTTTTGAAAGGTTAGTAAGAAATAGCAAGGAGCAATTTGGTTTTGGTCATGCGATATTCAAAAACAGATCTTGAGGGGGGTGAATTTAGAGATGGGAAATGAAGAATAAAAAGAGGATTAGGGAAGATGTTAATTTGCATGCTGCCTTTGGAAAGTAGAGTTATGTGTGGGTTAGAATCTATTGTTCTCAAATTCAGAACAAAGATAACAAATAGTGTAAAATTGTGGCTTGTCATGATTAGCTGGTCACATTCAGAAAGTTACTTCTTTTTTGGCACTTCAGTTTCTTTCTCTGTTAAAGATAAGGTATAAACTAGATAGCTTTTTACAATGCTCCCATCTTCCAAAATTCTAGATTATGGCCACTCCCACTGTATCATTTCTCACCTTATGACATGCACCCCTCCCATGAAGTGTGTTAATAGATGAAGAGGAACCGTTTCAAGACATCCATTTAGAAAGATAGTAATAGCATCAGAAAAAAGTAGAACAAAGAAAATTAGATAAAATTCACTCTCTACCACAGAAGGTTATACAAACTTTCCCTTACTCCCCCAGAGTCCCCTTACCTTTTGAGCTCTACCCCATATGTTGAAGTGGGAAGTATCCTACACAATGCAAAATGTTTGACAGCATGCCTAACCTCTTCCCATCAGATTCCAACAACACTACCAACCTCCTCCTGTTGTATGTAACAACTAAAAAAAATCTCCAAACATTGCCAAATGTCCCCTAGGGGGAAAAATTGTCTCTACTGGAGAACCACTGATCCGAGAGAAGCAGGCCTACCGGTTCCATTTTCCTGCTTGAGTGAAACACCACTGTGGGTGGCATACCTTCTGACCACGGCTCATCACACCAGCTTACAGATAAGAATACTTGCCCACCATATAAATTCCCATCCACACAATTAAGTAAGACATGGTTTGTGTATTAGCATATCCAGCTGCTTGTTTGCCTGTCCCTGATATTTCAGTCCAAGTACAGTGGTTTGGCATAAATAATACACAGCTGAAGCCTGAAAGATACTGTAAATATGCAAGTTCAAAACTACTGTGGTTTTTTCAAGTATACTACAAACAAACCACTCTTAGCTTGAGAGGGAAAGGAAAAAATCCAACCCTAATACCATTACTTAAATAGGCCCATTAAAAATGAGCTGTGGGTGAAATACGCCTTTATTAAACAGATGACATTACATCAGGAATGATGAATCATAAAGTTTCTTTTCGGTATTACAATGGTATACGACCTTTTAAACTTTAATCACTCACCTCATATTCTGCACTACCATCAGGTGTGCAGGCTTCTTGCTGATTACATTAACATGAGGCAGCTGGGGAGCTATTGGCATCCATTCTCGACAGGCTTTTAGTAGCATGGCTCCACGACACAAAGCCAGAGCTGGGGCAGCCGCAGGCTTGTCTGGAAAGGGAAGCATGGCCTCCAGCTCACTGCCAGAGTCCAGCAGTTACAGGAAAAGTACTCTTGTGTCTTACATACTACTGTTCTCCCAGAAGTTGGCATAGGATCCAGCACACAGTAAGAACTCTATCAACGCTTATGGAACAAATCTCAAAGGGACTGGAATAATCTGTTACATTTGGACAGGGCTTCCAGTTTAAAAGATCGTTATTCAGTTTTCCCAGGGAGCGGGTGAAGAAGGCCCAGGGTCACACTGGTAATAACTGATGGAACTGGATTACAGTTTGTGTTCTTTCCACTGTGGATAGAAGACAACACTGTGCTGTTGATAAAAGCACAGGCTTAGCTTCCATCCCAGCCCTTCAGTAACTGTGCAACCTTTCACAAGTCATTTAAATCCCCTAAAATACACAGTCCTTCTAGGTTGATTGGGAGAACTATTTGAGATGATGCATGTAAAAAGCTTGCCATGATGGGTGGCACATGGTAAGCACCCAATGAATGTTATTTATAATTATTTACAGCTTCATAAAATATCCTATGGACAAACTGAAAACTACAGAATCCTTAATGGAAAGCAAAATTTGATTTGTCAGTTACCTTGTGAACCATCACCCCTAAAATTTGATTGAAGCCCCAGTTAATCTGCATTTACCTTTCTCTCGATCTTTCTTATTTCTACTTGTTAGGAAGCTGAGTAAGGGACAATTAGTCGTTTGCCCCTTAATAGCCTCAACCCGCAACCTGATACCAAAAGTATCCCACGGCCCCTCTTGAGAAGTTTCATTTCATGAAGTCTTTGTGTCAGTGATAATCTAACTAATATGTAAGTATTTTTAATCGTAGTTCTTCTCACCAACATTTTAAATGGCAGAGAAGAAAATATAAGGAGGTTCAAGAAGAATTTTAGTAAAGGTTTTTGATAGATTTGGAAGTTAATAAAAAACAATTTTGAAATAAATCTTTTGAGTTGTAGCCATGTAAGAAAACTAACATTTTCTAAAAAGAATTATCCATTGGTTTCTGTTCAGAGACAATATGCAAGTGTGGACAATATGCAAGTTTAGATAAAACATTATTTTGCCCCAGGATAGCATATACTATGCTCCTTACGAGACTTCATCCAAAATTAGGATTTCATGTATCATTTAGTATACTTTAGCTATAAATTTCATGAACACCAACTAAAGGAACATAAATGGTAAATCACAGAAAGTCAGGAGATATGTTGATATTAGAACTCATTATCCTGTTATCCCAACAATGTCAGCAAGTTTCCTTCCATCTTTCATTCAGCATTGTCAGTTGCTACTTTGGTCTCTTGCCTAGTTTCCTCCAAGGTCTCTAAATGCCATCATACCTTTTCAACATCATCATAACCAGAAGAAAGGGCTACTTCCTTAAAGAAGTCTCTTTTGTTAATAGCAAAGAAATCTTTCTCATATTGTCACCAGCGGGTATTATTTTCCGTTCCATGGGTTGGTTCTGGTTCACATAATTACCCCCCAAACTAATCATTGGCAGAGAGAGTGAAATTATCATGACTGACTTAAAACAATCATGATTCAGCCACTGAATCATGATTTAATACTCTGAACAAAGCTGAGGTTCTGCTTGCAAGTTAGAAGGTGACTGAGCAATGGCTATTGGGTAGGCAAACAATTGTCTGTTATCATCCCATTAGTCATATTCTAGTTCAGTGGTTCCTGAATCACCTTTTAAACATTCTGCTCATATGCTAAGTCAATTATATTACAATCACTGGAGTAGGACACAGCAATCAATACTTTTTGAAGCTCCCTGAGTGATTCTGAAGTGTAGAGATGTTTGGGGATAACCGTCCTAGCTATCAGTTCATGTGAGCCATATTAGCAGGGGTCTACTGAGAGATTTCCTTTCTGGTCCACAGGGATCCTGCAGGTCCGATTTGGTCCCATTGGACACGGAAATGCCTTATGACTTATGTTGACTTGAACAGAATATGACAATATGTCATCATACCACTACAGAATCAACACAGCAATCCAAATATGAGAGAAAACCAAAAGTTCCCCAAAATTAGCTGAATATTTTAAAGTATTAAATTTTTTATTGTTTTACAAATTTTAAGCCAATTTTTCATTTCAAAATGATGATTAAAATGGGATAAAATAGCTCTGCATCATAACTTACACTAGAGAGTTTCAGAATGGTAAAGATCACCTAACACAACCACTGGGATGTTAGCTTTACATGACATTTTACAAGGCAAGAATTTTTTTACCCATTTGGTCACTGCTGTGTCCTCAGTGCCTAGATGAACATCTCATACCATGCCTGGGTTTATGACTCCTTGCTCAATTTCCTCACCTGTTATATGGGGACATGAATACCTTATATGTCCCATAGGAGGAAGGAACAACTGCATTTTGAAGAAGCAAAACTGAGAACCAGTTCTAGCACTACCAGCTGAGCGACATGCTACGGAGTCACTTAATCTCCCTGAGCTTCTGCAGGAAGAGAAATTCTATTTTGTACCTCAAAGAGTCTCTATGGGACTCCAGGGTGGTGGTGTATGTGAAAGCGCCTTGCAACATGTACATTCCTATACAGATAGGAGTGATTATTTTAAAGGAGATAAACATAAATGTTCAATTAATGCAAGACAAAATTCAGAGTGCCTTCCATCTGAAATGTGCTTTTCTCTTTCTCCCTCTTCCTCTGTCGCTCTCAAAATGTTAATACGGGTCTCCTCTATAAATAACGATAGTGGCATACTGACATCCAGATTTAAACGCTGCAGCACAGCACCCTGTACAAGGAGAAGGCTGACACAGAGCTTCTATTTTTATATGTTTAGTGATATATCCAAGTGTCACTCAACAACAACAGGAAAGGAGTGACTGAGCCGATATCATTCACTCATATCTTCACCCCTCCCCCGCCTACCACTCCGACACATCCGTGACAAGCACTGCCTGGCTCCACCTGCTCACCACCTGTCAATATCTGGGTTGAAAAAAAAAGACTCCAGCACATGACTCTTAATTTTTATTAGTATAAATATAGATATTCTAAATAATAATCTATGCTCAGCACTTACATTGCAAGGCGACAAGAATTCCATTGCACTACTTCTTGAAATGTTCTATCTCTGTATCAGATGATCCCTGCAAAGGCTACTCCAGACTTTCTAAGATGGAAATCAAAATAGATTGTGGCATTCAACTGAGATCACTGGGGAAATACAAGGAAATACCATGGACTCTGATTACAACTTCTATGAGGACATAGGACCAATTCTCCTGACTTCAGAGAAAGGTGCTCCTATGATTTTATCTCCTAACTGAGCAAACCAATGCTATGACCCCTCCCTTTTCCTCACAAACCTTTCAGAGGCTACACTGGGGCGTATTATCAGGACAGGTAGGGGTAAGAGCCTCATCAACTGAAAATCAATGTGGCTCATCACAGTCTCAAAACACCTAGGAATGTGTCATACACAAAAAGATCAAAGCCCCCCCCAGCAAACAAGTGACACGGAAACCCAACAGTGCTTGTGGCCAGGAGAAGAAGTGAACACATGCCTTAATAATTCATTATTTGGTTGTTATTCAATATGCTACATGTGATTTATACGTTTGCTTGTTGTAGCAATTTGATTGAAGTAGCTAGTCATAGCAAAACAGAGACAGCTATGAAACCAGGCAATCATAGGTTCAAATCCTGTCTCTGTAAGTTCCTGGATGTGTGACTTCTGAACATGTTATTTTACTCATTCACATTTGTTTCCTCATCTGTCATAGATATGGCAATACTTGGAAGATTATTGTGAGGATAAAATGAGAGTATATATATAATACGTACTACAGTGGCTGGTTTATAGTAAGCTATAGCTAATACAGTTGTCCCTGGTCCTTGGGTATCTGCAGTGATTGGTTCCAGGACTCCCTGAAGATACCAAAATCTGCAGATGAACAAGTCCCTTATATAACGTGGTATATATAGTGTTTGCATGTAACCTACACATTCTCCCATATACTTTAAAATTACTTTAAATCATCTCTAGGTTACTTAGAATACCTAATGCAATATAAATGTTACCCAAGTGTCCATCAACGGATAAATAAAGAAAATGTGGTACATGTACACAATGGAGTGTTATTCAGCCTTGAGAAAAAATGAGATCCAATAATTTGCAAAAACATGGATGGAACTAGAGATCATTGTGCTAAGTGAAATAAACCAGGCACAGAAAGACAAAAATTGCATGTTCTCAATTATTTGTGGGGTACAAAAATCAAGACAAACTCATGGAGATAGAGAGTAGAAGGATGGTTACCAGAGACTGGGAAGGGTAGTGAGAGTGGTAGGGGAGGTGGGGATGGTTAATGGATGCAAAGAAAAGTAGAAAGAATGAATGAGACCCACTATTTGATAGCACAGCAGGGTGATTATAGTCAATAATAACTACTTTGTACTTTTTAATATAACAAAAAGAGTGTAATCAGATTGTTTGTAACTCAAGGAATAAATGCTTGAGGGGATGGAGACCTCATTCTCCATGATGTGCTTATTTCACATTACATGCCAGTATCAAAACACCTCATGTACCCCATAAATATATATACCTAATATGTGTCTGCAAAAATTAAAAATTAAAAGAGTTTTAAAATTTTAAATGGTGTATAGTTTTTGCACTGTATTTTAAAATTTGTATTACTTTTATTGTTTCTTTGACATTTTCAATGCACTGTTTAATCTACAGATGTGAAACCTGTGGATACAAAGGGCTGATTGTACTTCTTTTAACCTGAGTGCATACAAAAATGCTGTTTTAAGCACTTTCTAAGGTATTTCTAAGTGTTTTAGTAGACTTAGTGGTTTCTTTCTTTCTAAAACATTACTTCTACAATTGAATTTTACCCAAGATAACAATGTGGAGCCTAAGACTGCTCTCTATTTGTTGTTCCATGACATAAATCTTAAAGAAAAGGCACTGACTTAAAGCTTAATGAGTCTATCCAGAAAGAAGCTATTGTTCCAAATCTAGTACAAGAATTTTGGCTAGTATGGACTATACAAACCACAAACAAAAAAACGGAGGGTGGAACAGGATTGTGCTCAAAAAGGCAGGCGAAGTTCTGGGTGGGAAACTCCACTTCTCTCTCTCTCTCTCTCTTGGGAATCACTGTGCCCTGAGTTACTCAGGGCCTGGGGCTTGGTGCTTGGGACTCATAGAAAAGTGCCCCAGGGCAGACCTCTAGCTCTGTATTCAAGATTATTCTTCTGTGCTGGAGTTAGAGCACTAATCTTGCTCTGGCTCCAGCACTGTGCTAGAGGAGTTAGTTGAGAAAGGGTCAAGTAGGGGCTGTGGTGCTGAAAGCAGTACGGCAATAATATTAGCAATACAACCATGTTACCTAAGTGGAGGTACCAGCGTATTGTCATTTTCACCCCCAGAAGACTTAGGTGTTCGAAGGTCTTCTCATCCTATGTTCACTCAACAAGAAACTAACAAAGCAGATAACAGTGTTGGTGCACTTACCAATATGAAAAAAATTTCATTTTTCTAAGTTAAGATCTGGCTTCCTAAAGGAAAGATGATTCATATATATTTCTGGAATGTTATATAATCTAGGCACTAGAAAATTTAAATTTGTTATTTTTATTTAACCTATGTATTTGGATAATGGTGTTGTCTCAAATGTACTAATGAGACCATTGAGTTTGAAGAATATTAAGTGGTTAAAATCACAGTATTAGCTGCAGATCTGGATTCAAACTGAAGTCTGCCTGACTGTAAAACCCCTAATAGAAAACCACTGTCACTGTAATTACTGTGAAGAATAGCATCCCACTATTGAAGACTTTCTAATTTGTCCCTGTTGTCAACTGGGTCATGTTTTACCTTCTCAGCTTTATGTTGAAAATTTGCTACTTTGTCAACAAAATCTTATTTATAATGAAGCTAACCACCAAAAAAAAAAAAAAAAATGGTCCTTATGAAAATAATTACAGATGCTAGTAAGTACACAGCACCAAAGAGATGCTCAAATATATGCACTACCTTAAATTTGAAAGAATTAGAACTAGCAAAAAATCAAACAAAACAAAACAAAACAAATGAGCAATATCTAGGGTGGGAACTGGGGAGACTAAGAAGGTTTCAACACAATTGAGAGCATATATTACAAACTAAAACTTCAAATAAGCCTACTTACTTTTTCCCCGGGTTCATAGAACTCAATACAGAGTCATAAATCAGTCATATAGAAAGGCACGTATGTAGTATAAAGCCCTAAGAAGAGATTATACAAGTTCTTAGTGAACATCTCCAGTGATGGACTCACAAAATCCTAAGGTAACTAAGGCCTTTTCCAAAAGCTTTGATTGTTAGCAAAAAAAGGTTCAGTCCCCCTTATTCGGCCAGTACATTATAATTCTTCCCTCTCTGTCTGTCTACACAAATGCCTACTACACCTCCTGAATAGAACATCAAGAATCTACATCTTACTTGAAAGATTAAGTGCCGATGTGTCTACTGATGCATTTGTGTGAATAGTGGTTGCTTCTTTCTGCTGACCATGAATTCCTGCCTCCTAGGGCTACATAACTAAATGTTTTTCCATAGAACAAGCAGAGATCCCTGGAACAAAAAGAATTACAAAGCATAAAAGCTTTCAGCCGAAAAGAGGAACGGAAAAGATGCCAACTTGTATGGAGATGTGGAAGTGAGAAAACCTTTGATCAGTACTTCATTAGAGTATTCAAGAGGAAGAAACTTGGAAGCTGATGGAAAAATCAAGCAGCCTAGCATAATCGTAAGCTTTACATGCTCTTTTCAAAGGGTTTATTTATTTATTGAATTTTTTTTCAATTCTCTTGTTTGTTAATTTCCATTTTGATTCTAAGTCTATTGGTCAATCAGTGCTGAAAATAAAATGGGACCATGTGACCTGAGAGTATTCTGCCTTATGAGTATATGGGTACTGTATGACAAAGTCAGGCTTAATGGTGAGGGTGAAGGGATGAGAGAATTGTAGGTGAAGGAGAAGAACACAGGAGTCGAACACTGACAATGATATCAAATCACTACTCGGAAATTATTTTGCTGGAATATAGTGAGAGTGAGTATCCAAAACCCTGTGGATTAGGTATTATACCAGCCTCTACCCTCTGGCCTTCAAGGGTTTCCATAATTTTTACTATAATAGCCTGAGCTATCACTCCATTTCTGACAAAATTAAAGATTGCTTAGTCAAACTAACTCTAAGGAAAGATAAATTAAAGAAGACTCTAACTAATAGCATATTTGTGGAAAATAAAATTTTATTACACTTGAATGAATTCACTATTAGGGTGATTTACCAACAGAATACTGGGATGTTTTGTCTCTGAAAATACATTATTTCTTAAATTTTATAATTGATAGACAAGGTACAATCATAATTAAGTAGCACTATGAACTAAGCATGATGACTTTCTTAATAATAAGAATTGGTCTCCTAAATAGGCTGTTAAAGCCCAGATAATCTTCTTCACATCTTCAATTTTGTAAAGTTCCCCTGACAAAAAAAAAAAAACAAAACCTCTACCAAGTTAGTATTCAGGATAATCCTACTTCTCAATTAGAGTTCTTAATATGGAAAAAAGTTTTTCTGTCCCAAGAGGATATTCTTAAACAACTAGTATTGGTGAGTTTGACCCACTTTCCATAAAATAGATTTTTCCTTATATTTATCTTATTCCTCCCACTTTTCTAGTCGTTTTCCCCTCCCTTCTCCTTTTCATATAACTTATTTTCTCAAGCTGTTCTCAGTTAGGCAGTGTCTGCAAAGAGCGCTGATGTTTTCACTCTGAAAAGTCTCCAGTGATTACACCCAGTTTCTCTCATGCTAGAACTACATATTTATCAACCCCAGAGAGCAAAGATGAGGCGGCACCAGGGTAGTGAGTGATGTGAATTGCTGTCACAGCAGAAATTGTGCTCGGGGAGGCTTCTAGATAGGAAAAAAAAAAAAAAATCTTCCAGTTAGGGAGGGGCAGACAGCACAAAGAAAGACAAAAAATGGATGAGAAAAAAAAAAAAGGAGGGGCAGGAAGAAAGCAGTGAGCAATTAGAGAGGGCTCAGTGGTGTGCACAGTTGCCAATCCCTGCTGGAAATGCCCTCCAGTGGCCAGAAGTGGGTCATAAGTGTAATGAGCCAGGCAGCCTGACATCTGGACTCTTTAGTCCAGCCTCAGATTTCCACCTGGGTATGACAACTTCAGAACTTCAGAGCTCAAAGGTAAGTGGAAGATTTTCTTTGCTTGTTGTCTCCTTCATCAGCCACATATATTCCTATGTGGGGCAGGGCTCATACTTCTTGGCTACATAGATAAAACCAGGGGAAGCTACAATCCAGAATGGGACTCTCACCCCACTCAAGGCTGCACTGATTTAAGGGAAAACTTGCTCTAACCCCTTTCTAAGCACATCACCTACAAGTTCCTAATTAGCAACCACCCCAGGCCTTTTAATTTTTAGAGTTGCAAATAATGCTCATTTCTAATGGTTTATTTCCTCCAACAGCAGTCAACATTTTTGCAAAGACTATTTGGCTTCAAGAAAACTGGACAAGAGTGATGCACTGTTCATCTAAACCATGGTCACTGCTTGTGAAACTTCCAAGAGCACTTTCTTCCTGGCAGTGGATGAATATGGTCATTATCAAATACACATATGGCAACCACATTTTCTGAACACCCAACAGGCATATTGGTCTAACAATAGGACAAAATATTTGACATTGGAGAAATGGAACCCATGTTACTGATGCTTTTTGCAATATTAACTAGTCCATCTTTACTATCTTCTCCATGTCTTTCTTTCAAATTCTGGATGGAGAATAACTTTCCTTGTATATATTTAATTTTTCTTATCCTGAAGCTTTAACCCTTACGCCTCTACCATTACCCTTTGTCTTATTGCCTTACAGACACCACTGACCTCTGTAAAAGGTGAGTGTAAGAAAGTCTAAATGCTTCTTCGTCAATACTACACCATTGCACCAAATATGACACCAAGTGGTACACAATCGAAACAGGAAAAGAGGGCAAGACACACACCAATTCCATCAAATTTGCTTCAGTTTCCTGAAAACATTAGATAACAGAACTCTGGATTAAGAGGTTGGGCCCAAAGCTGCATAAGCTTTCCTCCATTTTCTAACATCTGAGAAACTATAAGAGAACATTTTTGCTTTCAAGAAATTTGTGCAAGGATCCTAGATCACTCTATTAATATAAATTATAAACTGCTTACAGTTTGACTTTGGCATTTCTGAAAATTTTGTTTCTTTCTAACTGTCCCTTTTTCCCACTATGTCCTTTTCTTTCTCGGTAAATCCAGGGTGGAGTCTGAGAGTCTGCATTTCCAATGAGGCCCCAGGTATTTCAATGCTGCCTGTCATAAACCACACTTTGAGTAGCAAGAAACTGAATAGTCAAGATATAAGACAGGATAAGTGTACAAGGATATGTACATTTTCATAATTTCCTGAAGAGTACCCTTTTAACAAGGACTGAAGAAATGGCTCTCTCATGACTGAGGAGTGGTGAGTGGATAAAACGTGAGATTTGGAGTCAGACAACATGAGTTCTCAAAGTAAGATTTGGCATTTGCTGAGTGATCTTGAGTTATGAACTTAATATTTCTGACTCTCAATTTTAATCTGTAAAGTTAGGAATTATAAAAATACCTACTTCTTCTGTTGGCTATAAAAATCAAAAGGGATAAACTATGATATGGACTTAAAGTAATACTCGCTTGTTAATATAGGTGAATCATATGCCTTAAGTAGGCCATCGCAGGAGGTAATTTTAGGCAAAGGGTGTTTCCCATAGCCCATCAAATCACAGCAGCAGGCCCTGTGCTTATTCTGCCACTTTAATGGGCAGTCCTAATTGACTACAAAGAAATCTGTAAAAACAAATATCACAATTAAGACCTATTGATTTATGCAGGTGACTTTATTTTCATCAGTTATCCAGTAGTTATGGAGTTATTTGATATGTGTTTTTATCTTGTACATATGTTTCCCGAGTTGTCTCAGGCCCCATAGCTTCAGTAAAACTAAGATAAATAGCTGAGCATAAATTCTCAAGTCTGTTCATTGCTCTACTGTATCTCAGTCTTTTTACTATTATGTTTGTTTAAAGGCAGGTTAGAAATGCTTACCTGTCCCAGAGGAAGAGTAATGTGCTTGGTGTTTAAAATACCCAGCTGGTTGGGATTGAGAGCAACTCATGATATTCTTTGCATGACTTCCTAATTAAAGGAAGGTGGAAGCAACTTTGTCCCAGAATAGTGAAAATCAAGTGGATGCCATCCCATTTTCACCCTGGACTAACACAAGGAAGGGCCGACTTACAATGTCCTGAATGACCTTGAGGGGCCATCTTACCCTGATATTGGGCTCTCCCGGCTATGTAATAATCCTAAATTTTTACAAAACAAAAATGCTTCCAGAATATGGTGTCCAGCTCTATGCAAGATGAAATCTAGGAGTTCACAGTGTGAGGAAATAGAATTGGCAGGTGTTACCAGATTCAATCCATGAGGCAAGCAGCATGAGAAAAAGCAAAGATCTAGTATCAGAAGTTAATTAGAAGATGATGAGAGCAGAAGCTAGGAGGTCCCAAACACATATCTGACAAAACCACATCAAGGAGAAGTGCCTAGAAAAACCAGTGAGGTGACTGGAGATGGCAAAAAGCAGTCCTAAGCATTTGGCAACTCTGCTCGACTTCCCTCTAACTCAGAGATATTTGTATTAGGCTTAGCACACACCTACTGCTTTTGCTACTGGCATTTTACAGGCACCATCCAACACCTAAGTAAGTGATATATCCCCTTGCCAGGGACCCAAGTTCATCATGCCCCTGTGTATTTTAAGCTATTGGAAATTTTAAGCTATTGGAAAGTAGACTTATATTTCTCTTTTTTAGAGATGAGGTCTCGCTCTGTTGCCCAGGCTGGGGTGTAATGGCAGGATCATGGCTCACTGCAGCCTCAACATCCTGGACTCAAGCAATCCTCCTACATCAGCCTTACCAATTAGCATTTTAAAACAACTTTTTGTAGAGACGAAGTCTCACTATATTGCCCAGGCTGGTCTTGAATTCCTGTCTTCAGTCCTCTTGGCTCAGCCCCTCAAAGTCAGACCTATATTTCTCTTCCACCCCTCAATTTTACGCACAAAGCAGAGATGCAATAAATTATAGGTGCGTGAAAATTCTTGATAAAGCCTCATGCTGAATGCGTTTGGAATGAGAGTTTCACTGATTTGCTGACCTAGTTGCACCCATCATGTTCAACTTTTTAAAAATCTATTTAGAAACACAGGTCTTATCAGCAAAATACATGGGGATATTGCTGCTACTGGGTTCTTTGCCCCAAAAAGCAAATAATTTTCTGTAACTTTAGACAGTTTCCAAAACTGAACTCTTGGGCAGCTGAAGCACTAGGGCTTTTACAGAAAATTGGACATGCCAGAAAAGAATACATTCTTCTCTGCAGTAGAAATTCTCAATTTCTTGCTTCAGGTTGATCAGAGAATTTCTCAACTACAAACTTCTAACTAGAATTGAGTTTTTCTCTTGCCAATTCAGATTATGATAAATATCTACCGTACCGCTATGTCTTATTTGCTGTCAGGAAGGGACTCAGCAAGTTGGTGATGTGAGAGATTCCTTTTTGGTATTTGGCAAAACCTGATTTCATCTCTAGTTGTCTTTATTTATCCCTCCCCACTAGATTTTGGCTGTCTTAGATTCAAATGACATCTTTAAGGGGAGAAACAAAGAATTTGCAATTGTTTCCCAGCAATGTGCAAATTGGCACTTAATCGAGAATTAATGGTGTGCTAACTTCTCACTGCAGCCATTCCCACTGCAAATTGCACTGAGACGGCTTGCACTTTTGACTTTGACATGCTTTTTATAGGGGTACATGAGTAATTTGATCTGTAAAAGAGAGAGAAGATTCCACCTCCTGAAGGAAAAGTACTAATTAGCAGCAAAATCTAACTGCTTTTCTCCGGCGGGGTCTCTCTCTTGCTATGTTTGGCTTAATGCAAACTCCTGCCATGCTGAGTTTCTGCATTGGATTGTCCAATACAGCCTGTTTCATTTTAATTTCCTTTAGCAGAGTTGATATTCAATTAGCCACACCAATGAAGGGATGCATTAGCACACATAATAATCTCTTAACTTTGAATAGAGCATTAGCATTTACAAAGCAC